GATACACGAACCCTGAAGAAAACGCCTGATCTGTCCTCAGGCTTGGCCTCAATACAAACATACAGACGGAGAGGCATCAACTATAATACTCTTCCTTTAAGGGAAGCCCCAGGGGGGAATAATAAGACTTGAGGTTCCATTTAACATGCAAGATTTAATAGGCATGAAGGACAGGCTGCGAAGTTCTACAAGTGACCCTGGCAAATGCATGCAAACATGGGGGAGGCTCATTACCGCCCAGACCCTAGCATGTTACCGCTAAGGAAAGTAATACGTAGGAAGCCTGTTAAAGGAATTCTTCAGGTCTGTTAAGGGCCGAGCGCTTTGGGGATGCATTTTATCCAACATACAGCCACAGACATTAGGGAAAAGTTACAAAAACTGGCTTTGGGACCCCAGGCCCCCACTGAGCAACTGGTAGAAATAACTTTCAGTGTTTTTAACAACTGAATGGGGCGAAGAAAGAACAAAAAAAGCCAGCCCACAGAAACGCACGGCTCATTTTGAAACTGTTCACCACCTCGAGGAAACCTAGCTCCCTGAACACAAGGAACCTCAAAGGGCCAGCGTGGTCTGCAGACAAGAGGGACAGCGGAGAAGGGACAGCGGAGAAGGGACAGCGGAGAAGGGAGCGCCCTGGGAAGGGGCTTTCTCCGGACTTTTTTTTTTTTTTTTTAATCCTCACCCGAGGATATTTTTTCCATTTTTTGTACAGATAGAGTGGGAGGGAGAGAGAGGAAGGGAGAGAGAGAGAGAGAAACATCGACGTGAAGGGACACATCGAGTGGCTGCCACCCGCACGACCAACCAGGGCCGGGGACAAACTGCAACCGAAGTACGTGCCCTTAGCGGGAACCGAACCCGGGTCTCTCCGCACCGCAGGCCGACGCTCTAACCGCTGAACCAAACTGGCTAGGGCGGGAAGGGGCTTTCTCAAGGGCCGTGCCCCCTCTGTGGCAAGTTCGGCCACTAGAAGAGGGACTGTCTGTAGGACTGGGTGTTTGATGAACAAAATGTAACCTTGAGGTGTGCATTGTCTCGGCCTGGCCAGCCAAAGACCAAGGTATCCGTGTGAATAGACAAGGTCTGCATGTTGGGTTGGAACACGGCCCCGACAAGTATGATCCAAGTGCATGAGAATAGACAAGGTCTGCATGTTGGGTTTGGAAAGCCGTCCTGGGAGCCCAGTGAGCTTATTGCTCAAGCGTGAGTGTGTTTATTATGTCTCTCCCCTGAAATGGAGACATCTGGGACAGGAAGTGTGCTGGGCTTGGCTAAAAGGTCAGCAGAGACACGATCTCAAGGATGTAATTGCTTAAAACACCGAGTAACCTACATCCAGAGATCTGGGGTCAAGAGCATTTGCTCCCGTGCGATGCTCCCCTCACTCCAAGCGTGTCTGCTTGTAGTTCATGGTATTGACCCCTGGCAGGCTGAGAGTCGTGTCCCGGGGGCTGGGAGGTTGCTGGACCAGAACCTACCCACACAATGGCCTTGAGCTGCTGGGGACCAAAGTTTCAGACGGCTCCTCACCAGAACATCATCATTGAAGGGGCGGAGCCAAGGGTGGCTGGCCCTTGACACGGCAGGTGCTCTGCTCTGACTCACTCACCAGGGCCTCTTTCTTCCAAAACCAGTTTGATCACTGGCCCGAGTGGTGTCCTTAATGCTACCATTGCACTCAACCCCTAGGCTACGGCCTCGGGAACCTCACTTTTAGTCATGCCTTATAAATCTGAGAAGCCCCACTCCCTTATTAGGGAGGGACACCTTACCTAGTCTAAACTTCTGGGCAATTAAACATGCAAACAAGGTTAAGATAATTAAAGGAAAACAAATAATAGTGTATCTTTGAAACCCTCCAAATTCTCCTCCTAAAGGGCGGAGCTACAGCAGGGTCCTTGCTCAAGTCACAGAAGCCCCAAGGAGGGGGCCATGCCCCCCTGTAAAGGAAAGAATGTAGCACTTTTTAAATCAAGTGGCTGAAGGCGGGAACTACAGTCCCAGGAACGGGCACAGGTCTTTTCTGACCTCCTGAACGGTTAACAAAGGAAATGAAGCTGTGCTCTTAATTGTCAAGGACAAACACCCTATGTGAACGCACAGTACCATTTTTCCCGTTAGGCAGACCTCACCCCCTGGACTTGAAGAGAATGGCAAGAACTAGCTGCTCCAGTTAATAGATAACCTCTGCATTGTATAGATATTGTTTTGTGTACACCGACCTGCTTGCTCCCTCAGACATAACAGCTAACTGCAAATATCTGCTTCTGTACGTGCTTGCTTGCTCGCATACCCTTGGCCCAAATTCCTTAACAGGGGCGAAGACAACTATATAAGCAGCCCTCCTCCTGGGCTCGGGCTGCTCTGTCCTCTGTAGGATGGGACAGTCTCCGCGCGGCTATTAAAGCTCTTAATTTGAAACCAGTTTGGAGACTGAGTCTGGTCTTTCTCGTTGGTCTACATTACCCAGACTGCACTACTACAGGGGGGCATGCCTCTCCTTGTGAAAGGAAACAAAGGAGGTACTTTAAAACTGAAGTCCCTAAAATGCCCAAGCCAAATAGTTTACCATCTTGGATTTAAAAATCATCTCCCAGTACTGATTTGCATCCTGAGGCACCTTTTCCAATGCGAGTTTCTGGGAGGTAATCCTGAGAGAAAAGAGAAACCTTAGCTATTTGAGCAGATCGATGAACTTAATTCAGCCGTTAAACATTGATTGCGAGACAACGTTTTTATTACAAAAAGCTAGAAAATAGATTTGAAGGTGTTACTTTTTTTGTTGTCACACAACTAAGAGTTAAGAATTCTAATTAGTTGGAAAGAAACTGAATAATTTCAGTGATAGAACGTATAAGATAAGGAGATTTTTTTTTTTCTTTTGAAAGAAAGTAGGGCCCTGGCCAGTTTGACTCAGCCGTTGGAGCGCTGGTGAGGACCAGAGCCTCAGCTTTGATTCTGGTCAAAGACATGTACCTTGGTTGCTATTCGGTCCGGGTCCCAGGGGTTGTGCGGGAGGCAACCAATCACTGTGCCTCTCTCACACTGATGTCTCTCTCTCCCCCCACCCCCACTCTATCTGAAGATACATGGGGGAAAAGTATCCTTGGGTGAGGATTAAAAAAAAAAAAGTACAAATTGGTTGTTAGGCTGACAAACCTCAAAGGGAAGGTTGGGGCAGGAAGAGATAAACCAAAGAACTTATATGTGCATAACCAGTGGACACAGACAATAGTGTGGGGAAGGCAGAAGGGGGGCGGGAACGGGGAGGAGGGGGTCAAGAGGGGAAAAAGGAGGAACATCGGTAATACATTCAACAATAAAGATACGATTTTAAAAATGTTTTAAAAAGTAAGGCTCGTTGAGCTTAGAAACCCCCACCCTGGAAGACGTCTCCTCCAGAACGGGAGGCAGAGTGGACACCAGTCTGCTCTGTTCTCCGCTCTGTTCTCCGCTATTCTCTTGCAGATGGGGAACCAAAATTCAATGCCACAGGATTCGCCTCTGGGGTGCATTTTAAAGAACTGGGAGGGACATGTGCCATATTAAATGAAACTTGTTGCGTGTGGATTAATACATCAGGGCAGGTAGAAGAAGATCTTAATATTATTATGAAAAACGTCCAACTTGCAGATGATCTAAAGATTCAAGGAGGGACAGGCCCTAATGGGCTGCATCCGATCTTGTCCAGAATAACGAATTCCACGTGGTCCTGGCTTTTCCCCTTCCCACTCCCTCTTATTATAATTCTGCCTTATTATTCGGACCCTGCCTCTTGAATTGACTTGTGTGCTTTGTCTCCGCCAGATTAGAAGCCATCAAGCTGCCGATGGTCCTGGCAGTGGGACCCTGAAGGACTGCTCCCATCTTCCCTGGTCCTCAGATCGTCCACCTCCCACGGAGCCCTAACAGCCCCTACTTGGCAGCCCCGCCCCAGCTTGACGTAGCCGGAGTGGCCATCGCCCTGTTCCGAGCAGCAGTCAGGGACTCCAAATCAGAGGGGAGCACCAGGAGACAGGGACAAGCGAGGCAGTGAGGGACAAGACCACGGGAAGGGAAATTAACTAGGGACCCTGTGAACACTGACAGGACCCCCTTGCCTGCGGAGGGTGCCCCGGGAAAACGAGATGAGGTATTGCTGAGCCCAGCTCCCTGGGAAACACAGACCTTACAATGTACCTATGTTGCCGAGCAGAATTCTTTGAAAGAACCAACCCAAGGCCAGCAAGGTATATATCTACCCCTAGACAATGGAACCCCACGGGCAGCTCACTTGGGTCCCCTCCCCACTGTGGGGAGTCTGTCTGTCTTTCAAACAAACTTTCCTTCCGCTTGCACTCTGTCCGTGAATGTCCGTGAACTCACTCTTTGACTTTGCGAGTCGACGAGCCGGGACCTGCACCCTGGCCCTTGGTGTCACGAGTACTCGGTCTTTCCCTGTCTATGAGGAAAGACAAAATACATTTCCTTCCTTTTCTCTCTTCCTTCAGTGAATTCTTTCACAGGCCGTCACCAGCCTAAACAAAACCCTGACGTGCCCGGAGGGTGCCGGGCAGGCAACCCTAGGAGAATGCTGATGCAGAAGGCGGCGGTGGGGGTGGACGTGAGGACTGGGTGCAGGGACTTGGGTGGCCTATAGAGCATTGTTGGCAGAGGGCTCCCTGGAGGAGGCGTCATTTGCTGCCATGATCCTTATGCTATTTTCACCCCCGCGGATTGTTCTGTTTGTCAGGTGATTTCCCAACAGCCTGGAGTTGGCCGGACCTGTTCCAGAGCCAGCAGAGGGGTGGGGTGTGTGGGTTGGGAGGTTGGGCCAACTTGGGAGAAGTGCAGATGTGTGAACCGGGCTCACCTGGACTGGCCCAGTGCCTAGCAGGCCGCCCTGGGTGCCACTCCACTTTGAGGCAGAGGCAGAGCGTGTGCCCTAGGAGGCTTAGCAGGTGGCAGAGGCAGTTGTGAGGCCTGGGCAGGGCAGAGTTGGCTCACCCACAGGCAGAATGTCGGACAAGGAAGGCAAAGGCGCCGTGAAGGATTCAAGGTCGCAGCTCACACTAGGGTACATGGGCCAAGGGCAAGGGGCAGGGGCAGAGGGAGGGAGGTGCTGGGGGGCAGCAGCATGGGGGAGTGGGATGTGGGCCCATGGGCTGGGGTTCCACGCAGCGGGTGGGTGCTGTCCTGTCGTGGTTGTGCCTTGTGTCCCCAGGTCCGTTCTACTGTCCGAGTCTCACTACGCCCCATGGAGACACCCGGGAACAGCCTCAGGGGAGCCCTCTGTCCTGGCCCAGGGTGGGGGCAGACCCCTTCCTTTCCCAGACTGGGGGAGCGGGAGGGGCAGACAGGGCCCAGGCAGGTGTCACCAGGGCTGTGCTGGGAGCAGAGAGAGGGACGAGGAGCTTCTCGGGAAGAGAGGCCAGAACTGTCCGGTTTCCGGTAAAAGGCGAACAGCGCCTTCCCTGGCTCAGGGAGTACTGTGTCCTCACTGCAGATACTCAGCCGGGGCAGAAAGATGCTGAGAAGTCGGCAAAAAGCGCAAGCACGGCCCTGGCCGGTGTGGCTCAGCGGTTAGGGTATCGGCCCGAGGACCAATGATTCCGGCCAAGGGCACGTACCTCGGTTGCGGTTTGTCCCCGGCCCTGGTCCAGGTCGTGCAGGAAGCAACCAGTCGATGTGTCTCTCACATCGATGTTTCTCGCTCTCCTCCCTCCCACTCTATCTGAAGATAAACAGAAAAATATCCTCGGTGAGGATTCAAAAAAAACTCGAGCCAGGCTGGTACAGCCGTGGTGAGGGCTGGCCCGCCATGTCACAGCTGCTGGGAGAGCAGCTCAGGTCGCCTCTCCGAGCCTTGGCTTCCGCCTCCTTACGGTGGGTGATGATAACAAGACCCGGAGGCCCCGGTAAGATGGTGCGTGTCAGGAGCTCAGCCCCAGACGCCGGCTCTGCTCCCCCGGGCGCTCTGGCGCGGCCTCTGCCCGTAGAGGAAATCCCGCTCCCTAGTGAAGCCCCTGCCTAGCTGCATCTTGTTTCTCCGGATCCGCCCTCACAGGGCCTTTGCACATGCTGGGCCCTCTGTGCAGGACTCCTGCCTTCCCACTGCGGCCGGGCCTCCACAGAGCCTGCAGCAGGCCCCTTCCTGTCTGTGGGCTGCTGTGCTCCGTGTCTAGACTCTGAGTTCCGCCCGAGGGCTGGTCACGTGGGTTGCGGGAACCTCTACTAGGGTCTGCCCACTGTGCTAGCTTGGGGAGCCCTGGGTCCCTGCTCCCCTGCAGTGGGGGGACGAGGCAAGGATGCATCTTACAGGAGAAGCAGGAACTAGCTGTCCAGCCGCAGCCCCCTGGGGTCGCTGCTGACCTCAGCTCCCACCCAGTGCTCTGCTTCCTCATTTTACTGGGCAGTGGTGGGCCTGGCTGGACTGTGGTGGTGGACAAGCTAAGCCTGAAGCTGTCCCAGGCATTCCACAGCGAGGACACAGAGGATGAGTTGAGGAAGGCCGGGAAGCCCTGCCCTGCCCGCCTCACCTGGGAAAAGCTGGCTGCGCTGGGCTGTGCCATGGCTCACTCCCGACTCCTCCAGGCCTCCCTCAGGCGGATGGAAGCAGATCTGCCCGAACCCTGAGCAGGGCAAGCCGGGTGAGGGTGGGCGATACTGGCATGCCAGCAGGGCCGTGGGGCAGCCTGGAACCTGAAGGGGCTCCAGGCCAGCTCGGGGCCGGGAGTGGGCAGTGCCCGTGGCAGAGTTGGCCCCAGAAGAGCGCACGCGGCCCAGCTCCCCAGGAAGCGCCAGAGCAAGTGTGCGGGAGCCTTCTCGCTGGGCGCCCTGTTCTCGGGGCAGGGGTCTGGGCACCGCCGCCCTGGGGCCTGGCTGTGGGAGGGCGCGGCCCGGCTCCTTTTCCGGCCCGTGAAAGGTTGGACACAGAGGTCCTTACCGAGCACGTGCTGCCGTGTCCCCAGGGGAGCCCCTGCGCCGTGGGAGGCTGCACAGTGTAGGCCGGCAGCTTCGCTCCGTGGGGAGGGAGGGTGTGTTTGCAGGTTTCCCTGGGCCTCCCAGCATCCTCCGCCGGAACCCACAGAGAGCACCACTGGCTCTGCTTGTCTTATTGTCCTTAAGACCGCTGACCAAGCCTATTAAGTCCACCGAGCACTGGATGGCCCGGCCTCGGTGTCCCCGCTTCCCAGACGAGGAGACAGGTCTCTGAGGAGCTGTGACCTGCCCGCGGCTCCAGGAGAGATGGGGGTGCCCACTCAGTGCTGAGCCATCTCGGTCCATGGCCAACACTCAGGCAGAGGCCCCAGGCTCAGGCCTGCGAGATGCTGCTGAAGGCTAAGACAGAACACGTGTACACACAGGCACACACACAGAGACACACACATACAGACACACAGACACACAGACACACACAGACACAGACACACACACAGAGACACACACACACAGACACACACAGAGACACACACACAGAGACACACACACACAGACACACAGACACAGACACACACAACACACACACACACAGACACACACACAGAGACACACACAGACACACACACACAGACACACACACACAGACACACACACACAGACACACACACACAGACACACACACACACACACAGACACACACACAGAGACACACACAGACACACACACAGACACACACACACAGACACACACACACACAGAGACACAGACACACACACACAGACACACACACACAGAGACACACACACAGACACACACACAGACACACACACACAGACACACAGATACACACAGAAACACAGAGACAAACACAGAGACAGAGACACACAGAGACAAAGACACACACAGAGACAGAGACAGAGACGCACAGATCCACGCAGTCTCTGCTCTGCCCGCCTGACTCTGCACACCTGCCTTCCCACGGACGCGCTGCCTGCCAGACGCCCCGTGCTCCTTGCTTTGAGACCCTCCTTCCAGGACCACCTTCCAGAGCAGATACGAACCCGCCTCATGCTTTGGGCCTGTGGCACACCGTGGACTCAGTTTCCCCAGCTGCCACTGCCAAGCTCTGTGGCCTCTGAGACAAAGGTCTCTCCGAGGGCTTGGGTGAGGCCCGGAGGGGCCCTGACCACTGTCCGAAGAACCCTACTCCTCCGTTTTGCTTGCGGCCTGGTGTTCTGGGTACAGGGCAGGGTACATGTGTGGGGCGGTGCAGAGCCAGCCCTGGCCCTCTGGGGTTACAGGTGGGTCCCAGGGAGAGTGTCTGTGAGCCCACGTGGGGGCAGGCAGAGGCGGGTGGGTACCCGAGAGGGCTGTTCCCCCCCGCAGGATGGACCTCTTCGAGGACACCCTGGGGCGGCTGCGGGAGGCCTTCCGCTCGGGGCGGACGCGGCCAGCGGAGTTCCGAGCTGCCCAGCTCCGGGGCCTGGCCCGCTTCCTACAGGACAACAAGAAGCTTCTGCAGGAGGCGCTGGTGCAGGACCTACGCAAGGTGAAGGCGGCAGGTGGCGGGAGGCAGGGGGGGAGGGGGGAGCTGCTGTGCCCCGGCTCCTTCCCGGTCCTCACAGACCTTCCCTGGCACGCAGGGCGGCAGGCACCCTCAATATTAATTCAGTAAACCTGCGAGGCCTGTTCCAGCGCGGTGCCAACGTCGGGACGGGAAACAGGCCCTGTGAGGACATGAGCTGCCCAAGGCCCCACAGCTGGGAAGTGGCAGAGCTGGACTTGCTGGCCAGGCCACCCAGCCCAGGGCCTGTGCTCCTCACTGTGTGGTGCCAGGGCACCTGCTGTGTTGTCCCTGGAGGTGGTCTCCATTTCCCTGCTAGGGACCTTGGAGGACCCCGCACACCAGCTCCCTGCCCCGTCCCGCCGCTGACGCCCCTTGAATTCCCCCCACCAGTCAGCTTTCCAGTCGGACTTTTCCGAGATCATCCTGTGTCAGAACGAGGTTGAACTGGCCCTCAAGAACCTGCACTCCTGGATGAAGGACGAGCCAGTGGCTAAGAACCTGGTGAGCTGGGTAGGGGCAGTGCCCAGAGGCAGTGCCAACCCAGGCCCCTTCGCCACCCTGACCAAGGGCGAATCACTGACTTCCTCGGGACCTCTGTGTCCTCATGGGGACAGGCACTGTCCACTGCACAGGCACTTCAAGGACCCTGGACGTAGGAGACTTTGGGGCGGTCCTTGGCTGCGCCTCACCATCCACCTTGCACCCCAGATAACGCAGCTGGACTCCGCCTTCATCCGGAAGGAGCCCTTCGGCCTGGTGCTCATCATCGCCCCCTGGAACTACCCCGTGAACCTGACCCTGGTGCCTCTGGTGGGCGCCCTGGCCGCAGGTGAGGAGAGGGTGAGCCCTGCGCCCTCCTGGCCCATAGCCCTTCCGACGGGGAGCCTCCGGATTCCGTTATGTTGTGCCTCCAGCCTCGCACATGCTCCCTGCGTCTCTGCTTTCCAGTGCCGCCGCTGGGTGGGTGTGGGGATACCAGTCTCCCCCGTGCCTCCCCCATCTGCCCCTGCAGGAAACTGCGTGATGCTGAAGCCTTCGGAAATAAGCTCGGGCACTGAGAAGGTCCTGGCTGAGGTGCTGCCCCGGTACCTGGACCAGGTGAGGTGGCCCTGCCCCCTCAGTCCATGCCCACGTCCCTGCTCCTGCCAGCCCAGGAGGTCCAGCTGTCCCCAGGACCCACAGTGTCCCCTGGGCTGCCTGTCCCTCCTTGCAGAGCTGCTTTGCCGTGGTGCTGGGTGGGCCCGAGAAGATGGGGAAGGTTCTGGAACACAAGTTTGACTACATCTTCTTCACTGGTAAGGATGGCCCTGGCCAGTGTCCTGGGGAAGCAAGGACATCCCAGAGCAGGGTTGAAAAGGCTATGGGGGTGGGTGGCTGTGGCCAGCAGTGAAGAGTGTCCCAGATGGCAATCAGCCAGGCCTCGGGGCCTTGGAGGGGTTGATCCTGGGGCAGCATGGCCAGGGGCAGGTCCAAGATGATGCTGGTTGAGGATGGGGGTCAACCCCATGTCCCCAGGGAGCCCTCGAGTCGGCAAGATTGTCATGGCCGCAGCCACCAAGCACCTGACGCCCGTCACACTGGAGCTGGGGGGCAAGAACCCCTGCTACGTGGACGACAACTGCGACCCCCAGACCGTGGCCAACCGCGTGGCCATGTTCCGCTACTTCAACGCTGGCCAGACCTGCGTGGCCCCCGACTATGTCCTCTGCAGTCCCGAAATGCAGGCGCGGCTGGTGCCCGCCCTGCAGAGCGCCATCACCCGTTTCTATGGTGAAGACCCCAGGAGCTCCCCAGACCTGGGCCGCGTCATCAATGAGAAGCATTTCCAGCGGCTGCAGGGCCTGCTGCGCTGTGGCCGCGTGGCCATCGGGGGCCAGAGTGAGGAGAGTGAGCGCTACATCGGTGAGTCCCCCTCTCCCGACCGCGGGGCCCCGCTGAGGCCTCTTCACGCTGGAGGCACAGCTGGGCCCCGAGGCTCCCCGGCCCCGCTGCTGGAGCCCAGCGGGGTCCACGGCTCTGGCGCCTCGATTCCATGACATGAGCGCTACACGCTGCTGTGGTCTGAGCCTGTGACCCCATGACCCCACTCTCTGGGCCAAGCCCTGGCTTCTCAGCTGGGCCCCAGTGACCCAGGGCTCCTGAGTGATGATTCCCAACCTCCATCTGCTGCCCCGCGGGCCGAGACCCAGGTGCTGGGAGCCACGGTCCCCGTCCCGAGCACCCACTGGGCTGTCCTTACAAAGCAGCCTGGCCTCTGGACCACAGGACTACGGTGACGCTGCTGCCCCAACAGGCTGGGACCTGGGACCTTGGGCTCCAGGGGTCTGAGGTCCAGTCACCCCATGACTGTAAGACCAAGGCTGGGGGTTCTCTGGGCCCCAGGTCCTGGTCACTTCTCGGGGGCTGTGGGGAGACACTCCTCCCTAGAACATCCCCGAGCCTGGAGCTCCGGGTCCCTGGGCCCTGCCCGAGGCCCCAGCCCTGGGCTGAGCGACCCCCTGTGCCCGGCAGCCCCCACGGTGCTGGTGGACGTGCAGGAGACGGAGCCGGTGATGCAGGAGGAGATCTTCGGGCCCATCCTGCCCATCGTGAACGTGAGGAGCCTGGACGAGGCCATAGACTTCATCAACCGCCGGGAGAAGCCCCTGGCCCTGTACGCCTTCTCCAAGAGCAGCCAGGTGGGGGCTCGCGCAGGGCTGGCAACAGAGGAGCTGGCAGGATGCAGCCTGGTGACCTCCCTTTCACATCCGCCCAAGTCCAGGTCACCTGGACCATGGCTCCCTGCACAAGGGCACCTGGCATGAGAGGGCTGGGCACCCCAAGCCTGCCTGATGTGTGGCTGGCCAGTGGTGTGCCCTGGCAGCGTCCACCTGCCGGCTGAGAGCCGTTTTCCTAAACCATTAGAAGCTGGGTGTGGGTGAGCAGAGCCCTAAAGGGGAATGGGGCAGAGCGAGGCTGGGACCTGACAGGCAGACCAGGCTGGTGCTTGCTACTCTTTCAGCCATGACTTTCGGTCATGGTCCCCTCCATGTGGAAAGTGCTTGAGAGGTGATGTTTGCTCAGTGAGGATGGAGACAGGGGAAGCACCTCTGCTCCCTGTGGACTGGCCAGGCGCCCGAGCCCCCTGCCCGATGACGATGATGAGCCCGCCACTCTGCCCCTACCGGCCCCCAGGTGGTGAACCAGGTGCTGGACAGGACCAGCAGCGGCGGCTTCGGAGGCAACCAGGGCTTCCTGTACCTGACTCTGTCGTCCATGCCGCTGGGAGGAGTCGGTGAGCCCTGCCCTCTGCCCTCCAGCCCCCATCCCAGGGAGCCTGCATCGGAACCCAGGCCCAAGAAAGCCCATTTTGCTTTCACTCACTGTTAACCTTGATCCAGGCCCTGGGCCTCCCAAGACCTCCGTTTCCCTATCTGCAACATGGCTATTAGAATGGCCCGGCTTTCCTTGAGCCCTCTGCCAGGGGTGGGCAGTGGGCTGCTGCTGAGACTGGGTGGGCTGCCCAGTCTCGGACCCTCACTCAGTGCCCATGCAGGCCACAGCGGGATGGGAAGATACCACGGCAAGTTCTCCTTCGACACCTTCTCCCACCACCGCGCCTGCCTGCTCTCCTGCCCGGGCCTGGAGAAGCTCCAGGAAGTCCACTACCCGCCCTATGTTGACTGGAAGAAGCGGCTGATAGGCTGGGCCGTGGGCCACCACAGCTGCACCCTCCTGTGAGGGCTCTGGCATCTCCACTGCCCTGCCCCCCAGCGCCTGCTGCCCCGGTGCTCAGTGGTCCTGAAGGGCCGGGTCCTGCCCTGGGGTGCAAAGATTCTGCTCCCGGGGTTTTGTTTGAACAGCCCCCTGGCAGACAGGACCTCGGGGCTGCCTCTCAGGGCCCAAATCCCCTCTGTATCCTCCTGACAGATGTGTTGACTTTTTTGCTTGGATATGTCTGATGACAGAGAACTCACCCCCACAAGTCCGGGTGGGTCTTGTGGTTAGAAAGCACTTCCTTGTATTAGATCTATAATTAGGTTCCCAAAATACAGAGCTATTTCTCACAGCTCCACTCACACCTGGTTTGGGGAGCTGGGTTTGTCTGACCTTGAGCCCCATCTGGCCAAGTGCCTGAAGTATGTAATTGACAAGAACTCTGATGCTGCGTGTGGAATCAATGGGAAGGTGTGCGACGATTGATTGGTGATGTCTGCCACAGGCACAGGAAGGCGTTGAGCACATGGGGGCACAGCTGTCATCCCTGCTCTAGACTCCCAGAAGATCAGAGCAGGCAGAGTCTACATCTGACCACCTTGTCTGACATATGGGGAAACTGAGGTCTGGAGACATGGCAGGGCTGAACTGAGTTTCCGCAGCCACGGAGAGCAGAGCCGTGATGGAGGGCCTCTACTGAGAAATGTGGGGGGGGATCAGCAAACAGAGCATCTCTGGGCCACTGTGGCCCGCTTCCTGCTCTCTCCCCAGTCATCAACCTGGAAGCCCACTCTAATACCTCCAGTCCTGCTTTGGGGGGCTCCTCGCCCCTCAGAGCCTGAGCTAGTGGCCTGAGGTTGAGGGAATAAGGGGAAGTATGATCTTCCTGCTCCCCTGGGAAATGTTGGGGACAGCTGCCTCCAAGGGTACAGGGTGGACTCCAAGGAGGTGCTTAGCAGGGTCTGTCGATGAGTGAGGACGGAAGGGTAAGGAAGGGAGAAGCCGGATGGAGGAGGGGGTGGATGGCGGAAGGATGGGTGGATGGTGGATGCCGGGGAAGACATGGGGGCTAGAAGGGCAAGTGAGAGCATGAGTGAGATGACAGCTGGTTGAGTGGATGGGTGGGGGCCCAGGTGGAAGCGGAGGCCCACTGGGCCTGGGTCTGAGACCCGCTCTCCCCACCTCTGCCCTGGGAAGTTGCTTTCTCAAAAATGACCACTGGACTGAAAGGAGAGAGCCAGAGGGATTGAGAGGAATCGGAGTGTGCTGTCTGGGCAGTGGGCCCAGTGAGCAGAGAACAGGGGAGACGCTCATCGACGCCCCTAAAAACATTGCTGCCCTCACCACACCTGATCTCGTCCCCTGGCCCCTCTTGGCCACTGGTTGCGGTGGTTCAGACCAGGGCCAGACCGCCAAGGGAGATGCGGCACTGGACGCGGGGTGGGGAGGGCAGCGCAGAATGCCCGGCTCTGGGGCTCGACTGGTGAGCAGTCACACGAGTGCATCCTGGCTGCGAGGGGGGCTGAACGCAGGTGCGCGCTCCTGCCCTGGGGGGGCTGTTCAAGAGCGGCCACACATGTGACAGATGTGCCCTATTCACTCCATCCCCCAAGCCCAGCCTGACCAGGCGCAGTGCTGAGACGGTGCCATCAGACACAGTACAAGGATTGCGTCCCGCCTTTTTGGACCCAGCACACAGGGGTCCAGAGAGCCTCGAGCCCTTTCAGGCTTTGGCTTAGCTGCTCTGTCCTCCCAACTCTCCCTCGTTCCCACCTCTTCCCCACCCCACTGCCCCCAGGGATCCAGCTCGAATTCCAGACTGGTCTCCCTGGGCCCGGCTCACAAGGAACCCTACGATCCGCTTCCCTGCTCCCCCTAGACGGCCTGTCTGGGTGCGCGTCACTCCGCGGCCAGCTCGGTACTGGCTGCCTTTGGGCAAGTCCCTTCGCTTCTCTGGGCCTCTGTTTTCTTACCTTGTGGACTGGGTTCCCACCTACCTCTGAGAGGTGGTGTGACGGTCAAATGAGGTCGCATGTGTCTGGGGCCCAGGGGTCTCCACTCGAGGATCCAGTGGAATCCCGACTCTTCTTTTTTATTATTATTATTTTTAGAGCGAGAGGAAGGGAGAGAGAGAGAAACATCGATGTGAGAGAGACACACGGATCGGCTGCCTCCTGCACGCCCCCTACTGGGGATCGACCGAGAATGGAACAGGGACCTCTCAGTCCACAGGACTGCGCTCAGCCACTGAGCCATAGCAGCTGGGTGAGTCCCGACTCTTCTGTGAGCCAAGCCAGCGTTGGGGACAAAGGCCCTGGCTGCAGAGGGGCCCCTGACCACACACCTCCCAGGGCTTCCTGGGGCTGTCACAGCCTCGAGAACCATCCAAAGGTCACTGGGGAGAGAGGCAGAGCTGGGCAGTGAACTGTCCAGTCCGATCACCTCGTGCCTGTTCTGTGCCAGGCACTGGGGCCCTGAGGTTGGACCCCGCCAAGGGCATCCCAGGCCTTCTTCGTGCCCAGACTCAGCCCTCCAAGGCCGGTGCAGCCCTGTCCAGAGCCAGGCCCGCCAGCTGGGGCTCTGGGGGCCAGGATCCGCCAGGCCGACCCTCTCTGCAGTTGCTCAGGTCACACTGAAGTCATGGTGAGGCCTGGGCCTGCCTCCACTCTCCTGTCCGCCACCCCTGATCGAGGGGACTGTGGCTCCCATCAGGGCAGCAGGTACCTCGACAGGGCAGGAATGATGGCGTGAAATCAGGTCACCAAGTGGTAGGACTCCCTGACAGCTTGTGCGGCGGGGGCACGGGCCCCTCCTCCTGGGCCGCTGTCACTCACTCTCGCAGTCAAGCCTGGGCTCCAGGAGGGGAACGGCTTGGCCAGCCGGTGGCCTGCGTCTGCCTCTCTCCCAGGCCCTGAGCACGCTCTGGGCAGGGGCTCAGGGTCCATGGTTGTGAGTCAGAAGCCACGGCCGTTGACAGAGGGGCCACAGCTCTGCTGAGATTCTGCTGACGGCAGGGCCCCTTGGGGAGGGAGGAGGGGTCTGCTCAGCATACCTGGCTATTTGGGGGTTCTGGGGGCCAGGATGCTTCCTGCTGGGCGGTGCTGGGCCCCGCTGTGGGAGGGCAGCAGTCGAGGCCCTGGGAAGTTTCATTGCCCTCGGCAAGGCTCAGCTTCCCTGTCTGAGGGTGTTCACGGAACGCAAGGGGGTCCGGGAGCTGCGGCAAGAGCCCCCAGAAGCAGCCCCAAACCAGACTGAGCGCATGTGTGTGTACGTGTGCAGGGGACCTGAGGATCTGTGGGTGTCACATGGGCATGTGTCTGGATGTGGGCCTGCTGAGTCCCACCTCTGAGCCCCAGGAAGTAGAGAGGTCCCCAAGCCCCCTTGGCTCTGACACCCATCCCTGCCAGGCTGTGTGACTTGGGGAGAGTCAGTGCCCTCTCTGGGCCTGGGCGACTACGAGGAGTGAGGGCGAGAGGGGCAGCCCCTGCTTGGAGACAGCACACACCCAGCAGGCCCTGGCATGACCCAGGGCAGAGGCATCGTCAGCGGGTCCAACCGCTCACTGCAGTTGGGGGACTGAGGCCCGAAGAGGAGCCAAAACCTGAGCCAACTCACAAAATTGTGAGGCTTGACCCAGGAGAGCCAGGTGACCAAGGAGCAGCCCTGGCCAGCAGCTTTGGAGGCCTTGCCTGACCGTGAACCGTCCTCAGGGTCTAACTCCCTGTGGCCCCTGCCCTGCTCCTGTTCACTCACAGACCTTCATTCCAGCCTGTTCCTTCACCCCAACCCCCACCAGGAACACCCTGCTCACTGGCCTGGTGCCCTGGGTGGGGGTGGGAGGAAGACTCACCCCATATGGCCCACTCTGGACTCTGGTCGGTCCCCACAGTGGAACTGGCACCTATGACTGAAGCTGACCCCTGAGCTCTAAGGGACCCTGGGATGGCCCCCAAGCCTCAGGCAGCAGAACCCCACGACCTCTGAACAAGGGCAGACCTTGAGGCTGTGGCAGAGCCCTGGGAGGTGCGGTCAGGGGCCCCTCTGCAGCCGGGACTCTGTGCCCGGTGCTGGCTTGGCTTACAGAAAAGTCGGGACCCCACTGCATCCCAGAGCGGGGACCCCTGGGCCCTGACTCATGCCTTCTCACCCCAGGTTCCAGCTCCACCTCTGTGCCCTGGTGCCCTTGGCACCCTGTCTGGGCCCAGGCTCCACACCTGTGAAATGGGTCTGAAGGTCATTTCCAAAGCAAGCTGAATCTTGACTCACACCCGACCCTCCAGGGCTGCAAGGGCAGAGCACCGTGCTGAGGGTGAGGGGAGGAGGCCATTCCTCAGCCGGGTGGCCGCCAAGGCATAGCCTCAACGAGTAACTCGCAGTGGCCTGGTCTGGTGGTCGCCCCGGCTGAGTGCCCGGCTCCGCGAGGCTGCTCCAGGCCCGCCCACCCTGCTGGACACCTGTGAAGTAAACACCACGTGTTTGGCCACCCTGGGGCTCTCGGTGGGGTGTTCGTGTTCATCCCAGGCCTCAAAGAGTCCCTGCAAGTGGTTTCCCCGAGCAGCTCCCCACCGGAGCCCCACCTGGCTCTGGGAGGTGGGGGGATCTCTATTCCTAGAGGAGGGGCAAAGGGCAAAGACACCGGCCTGGCTGCAGGGCCTGCACTCCATGGGCGGTGGCAGCCACCAGCAGGGGAGGACTGGGCGGGCAGACCTCAGCGCTCCTGACCTCTGGCTGGGCCTCGGCCTGCACCACCCACCCCTGCCCTCTGCCAACTCTTCGTCACAAACACTTCCTGCCTGGGGATCTTCCAGCCCATAAGCAGCTGTGGGCTAGCCGGTGTGCACCCAGCCCCGGAGGCCCAGAAAGCCCGGACCTCTCAGCAGGTAAGGGCTCCTGCCCTGCAGCAGCTCAGAGGAGCACACTGGAGGGCAGGAAGGAGCAGCGGTCGCCTGGAACCCTGACCGCTCACAGCCAATGCACGGGCGCTGTCGGCTCCCCTTGCTGTCTGTGCCCTGGTCTCCCCATTTTAACGTGGGCGTGCAATCCTCTTGCTAATCGAGGGTAACCTGGTGAATCCTTTGCTCTGAATGGCTGGGCCCCTCGTCAAAGGGAGCAGGGAAAGGTCTTGGAGAAAGGGGGGAGAGCGTGCTTCCCCTCCCAGAAAGGGCAAACCTTGAGCGAGGTCACTGGAGGTGCAGTGGGACTCAGCTGAGCTACCCTCAGTCACATCTTTTGAGAGACAGCTGACTTGTCTGGCTTGGACTCGGCAGGCCTCAGGGAGCTCACCACCACCGTCTGGCTCTGAGCACCGGATCCTGCATCTGTGCCGGCCGCCTGAGCAGGTCCGCCCCGGGGCCTCCACCCCACGCCGATGTGCTCGCTGCCTGTGCCTCGGGAGCCCCTGCGCCGTGTGGCAGTGACCGGGGGCACCCACGGCAATGAGATGTCTGGTGTCTACCTGGCCCGGTACTGGCTGCAGGCCCCGGGAGAGCTGCAGAGACCCAGCTTCTCCGCCGTGCCTGTGCTGGCCAACCCAGCAGCCACTGCTGCCTGCCGCCGCTACGTGGGCCGTGACCTCAACCGCACCTTCACCAGCACCTTCCTCACGTGAGTGTCCTTGTTGCTGTGGGGCCCCTGCCCGCCAGGCTGGCCCAGTCCTTGGACTGGCACTGAGGTCCTCACCTCAAACTCGCCCTCCAGCCATTAGCAGGGCACACCCCTCTGCTTTCGATGCCCATGCAGCTTAGAGAAATCTATACTGATAGCACCTCCTCCAGGAAGCCTTCCCTGATCTCGGGCTGGACAGGACCTTCTCTGGGCTTCCCAGACCCAGGGCTTGCCTCAGAACAGCCCCACAGGCTGCATTTACTTGTCTACATTTACTTGACTTCCTTTTACAGATATTCGCTGAGCCCCATCTCTGAGCCAGGCTCTGGCCACCTCTCATCAGAGAATGGGGAGCCGAACCAAGGTGTTATTCTCAGCTTACTGGGGGAGACAGAGAGAGAGTAACCACAATCCAGGAGGCTAAATGCAGAGCGGGGGCTACACAAACCTGACCAAAGGTAGTCAGGGAAGACTTCCTGGAGGAGGCAGTATCTCAGCCAGGCATCAGAGAGTGAATAGACATTAACCAGGTCAAGAGAGGAGAAAAGACGTTTCCAGGGAAGGGCCCAGCAGCTGCACAGGTCTGGAAGTGAGACCAACACGGGGCTCGGAAGTGTGACTGCAGTGAGAGCTGAGGCAGGGTGCAGGGCCAGGCCAACAGTTTGACCTTTGTGGGGGCAGTGGGGAGCCAGCAAGGGCCCTGAGGGAGGCAGGCATGCATCGGAGGAGGAAGGACCCGCCCTTGAGCTGCTCTGTCTCTCCTGCAGGGTCTCAGGGCTTCACTCACGTCAGAACGTGAAGCTCCCTGCCCTCCCCCATTAAACTTCTGATGATTGACCGAGACTGTGGGTGGCTGATACCCCCTTCCCTGCCCCTGTAGTGCCAGGGCCCACCCGGATGACCCATATGAGGTGACAAGGGCCCGAGAGCTGAACCAGCTGCTGGGGCCCAAGGCCTCGGACCAGGCCTTTGACTTCATCCTCGACCTGCACAACACCACGGCTAACGTGGGCACCTGCCTCATCCTGGAGTCTGCCAGCAACGTCTTTGCCATGCACCTGTGCCGCCATCTGCAGGTGGCCCTGTGCCCACTGCGTGCAGAGGGATGGGTGTGGGGAAGAGATCAGGGAGGTGTTGGTGCCTCCTCTGCTGGGGACCAGGGTTAGGGGAAGGGTACTTCCTGGGGTCCAGTCCCAGGGGCCTCCACCTGCAGGTACTTCGGGCCCTCGCGACCCCCGCCCCTCCCCACAGGGTGCGGGAGGCTTCCTCCATGCTCCGCCCTGGCTTCAGTGTCCCCTCCCAGGTAGGCCTGGGCCCTGACCCACGCCCCCACTCCAGCTGCAGAGCCCAGAGCCGCCCTGCCGGGTCTTCCTGTACCAGATGCCCAGAGAAGAGACTTTCAGCATCGACTCAGTGGCCAAGAACGGAATGGGTGGGCCCCCACCCGACCCCCTGGGAGAAGCTGTCAGGGGCCGGGAAGGTGGGGCCAGATGCTGGGCGGTGTCAGGAGCCTGGGGTCTGGAGGGCCTGCCTGACCCCTTCCCTCCTGGTCCCCAGTCCTAGAGCTGGGCCCCCAGCCGCAGGGAGTGCTGCGGGCCGACCTTCTCACTCGGGCGCGGGCCCTGGTGGCTGCGGCTCTGGACTTCATCCAGCTCTTCAACCAGGGTGAGACCCAGGAGGGGAGGGCCCGGCCCGGGGCCAAGCAGCCAAGCTCGTGGGTGGGGGGAACCAGCCCTGAGCGGCCCACAGGGCCCACTCCTCCCGGGCCGGAGGACGGACAGGCTCACGAACGCAGCCCACGCCCAGGCACCGCCTTTCCTGCCTTCGAGATGGAAGCCTATGGAACCGTGAGCATCGTGGACTTCCCGCGCACCGACGCCGGGGACCTGGCAGGCGCTGTGCACCCTCAGCTGCAGGTGTGTGTGGGGGGCAGAGACTCCTAGTCAGAGCCTTGGGAGGTGTCAGAAAACGGAGGCACAGAGGCTGGGACCACAGTGCTTCTCACAGTCGCCAGCACCTCAGAACCAGGTGCAGGGGGTTAGCAGCCTGGGCGCCCGTGCCCACCCGGACTGCCTCTGCAGGGCTCTGCGCCCGCCTGGAGCTCGGCCCAGTGATGCCGACAGTGCCCCGGAGGGCGCCTGGTCCCTCCGCAGCTCGGACACGCCTCTGCTGGCAGCAGAAGGGGGGGCGCGGGCACGACCCTGCGTGGAGGTACAGCTACAGAACCCTCGATTTTCCCATTAACTCCTCCAGCACCAGTGCGTGTTAGCAGCGAGTCCAGCATCTCCCTCTCCAGGCCTCCCCTTCCTGAATGTTCCAGGAAGGGGAGCATTCCAAGAAGGCCAGATGGGGGCTTGGGGAACCTTCAGACATGACAGGGGCCTCAGAGGGGGCCACCCGCCCCGTTGACACAGGCCCTCCTCACTCCACCTCAAGCTCCAAGGCTGAGCCCAGTGACCAGCCAGAATCCCCTTTTCCAGCCTGTGGGTCCCTGTGGGCCAGCAGGACCCTGTTCTGCCAGTGGAACCCAGGTGGGTGCCCTCTGGTGTCAGAGGAGACCGAGGCATCCGGAACCTCTGCAAGAATGGGCGTCTGTCTGGGGGCCTCCGCCTCCCTCGGGCGGCCCTGTCCGTCCCGCAGCAGACAGACCTGCACGAGCCCAGAGCACCGCAGGGCGCGGCCTGAAAGAGAGAATACTGGGAAGTTCGATGTTTCACAAGTGTTCTAAAGGACCAAAGTAACAATTGTAGGAAACATCAGAAGGTGGTTGGACTTTTTGTATCTGATTGCAGCCTCGCGTTTTGCTTTGAGGTGTTATCTTGTGACAATGCTATGGGGGAGGGGCGCCACCCTTTCAGGGTTCAGGGCTAGAGGGCCTTGCGCCGCCCATCTTCTGTGCTAAGCAGTAAGAGTCATTTTGAGTGATTTCTTCCACAATTTCAAATTTTATTTAATAACTTTTATATTATATTTACGAAGTGCCAAATACTTTTAAGCACTATTAGCCATACAATTTGAACCTCGGGGTGATAGAGGGAGAGATTATAATCCCTATTTTAAAGACGAGGAAACTGAGGAACAGAGAGGTTAAGTGACTTGCTCCAGGTCACACAGCTAGCAAGACTTTGAACCCAGACTTCACTACCTGCCTGTAACCATTAGACTATACTTCCACAATGACAAATGTCTTTCTAAGATGACTGGTGTCTCCATTTCTAGAAACAGGGCCAGTTGGCATCTTAGTAGACAGCCTGTCACACTGACTGAGGAAGTGAAGGAGAGAGTGGGGGAGGCCCTGAGGGGCATCTCTTGGGCAGTCCCTGCTGGGCAGGGGCAGAGGTCAGCCCCAGCGCCCTTTGCCCTTGGCTCTCCCCCAGGACCAGGACTTCCAGCCCCTGCTGCCCGGCGCACCCATCTTCCAGCTATTCAGCGGCAAGGACGTGCTCTATGAGGGGGGGCCCACCACGTACCCCGCCTTCATCAATGAGGCCGCCTACTATGAGAAGGGCATCGCCTTCTTCCAGACTGAGAAGCTCACGTTCTCTGTGCCCGCCCTGCCCGCGCTGGCCCCCGCCCCCACCCCAGCTCCCTGACCCGGGCCACCCTGCCCCACCTCAGCCCTCCCATCTGAGGCACAATCCCCAGCTCAGGGCTCTGCTTTGCCACCTACTATATACAGTGACCCTTGCTCCCCTCTGTGCCTCAGTTTCCCATTCTATAAAGTGGAAGATGTCCAGGCGTCCATGGTTTGTGTCCTCTGTCCTGTGTGGCCCCTCCCTGTGGCCGGCCTCAGGATCTGGGGCAAGTCTGGCCCCGGGTGGCCTTGGACATGCTGTGTGTCCTCTGGCCAGTGGTAGCTGTCTCTGTGTCCAGGGGGAAACTTTGTTTTTTGTTTGTTTGTTTTCATTTCCTTTATTGCTTTTAGAGAGAGAGAGGAAGGGAGAGGGAGATAGAAACATCGATGAGAGAGAACATCGACTGGCCGCCTCCTGCATGCCCCCCACTAGGGATCAGGCCCACAACCTGGGCATGTGCCCTGACCGGGAATCGAACCAGCGACCTCTTGGTGCCTGGGCTGATGCTCAACCACTGAGCCACACTGGCCGGGCCATGGGGGAAACTTTGAAAGAGGCTGTCCTCAGACCAGCAGAAGGGCTTCCAGAGGCCATGACCAGAGCGGGGTCTCCAACATTCTGCATCCTGGGGCCAGGGAGTCAGTCTGGGAGAGCAGAAGTAGGTGCCCATGTGCGTGCACACGCAGGCAGTACCACGCATGTGCTGCCCCAGTACCTTGGTGGTTCTGGGAGGGTCTGTGTGTGGCGGGCGCACAGCCTGGATGTGCATTTCCAGGTGTATGAGCCTGGCGTCCATAGGAGCTCAGGGGAGTCAGGGCTGGGGAAGGGGTGCAGCTCGAGAGTTCTCACCACCCAGGACAGCAGGTCCAGGTGCAGGCACACAGGGGGGAGGTGCCCAGGACACCCCACCCCATAGTCAGGGCAGGAGTGTGCCCAGGGTCTACTGCTGGGTCCCTCGGCCCTTACCTGGGCACTGTGTGCCAGGTGTCCACAGCAGCTGGAGCCGGCCAGGGTGGATGGGACCCTGAACACACCTCACACTGCCCACACTCGCCTGAGCCCGGCAGGACGTGGTCCTTGGCTGACGGGGGCTGGTAGAGCCCAGAGCTCCGTGCGACACTCCGGGCCCTCCACACCCCGCCTGGCCCATCCATCTCCCCGCGGCCACAGCTGCCATCTGCCTCCTGCTATTGAGCAGTGAGATGAGAAGGTGTGAAGGATACGGGGACACGAGGGACTGGCTGGCAGGCAAGATGGATGAGGGGGCAGGGGGCCAGTAGGTGCCTCCGGCAGGAAGGCTGGCCAGCCGGGGGGGCTGTGCAGGGAGCAGTGCCTGTGTACCTGGTGTGTGTGCATGAGGGTGAGTGTGTGTATCTGTGCACATGTGAACATGGGTGGTGGCAGGTTGGCATGTGTGTGCACGTGGGTTGGCATGTCAGTGTGGTCATGCTCACGTGTGGGGGTGTTTCCCAACACACACACCCAAGACATTTGCAAGTGCGCGCATACACACACACAGGGCTGGCCACCCCTGGAGTCCGGGCTGAGATGGAGCTACCAGGCCCCTCCGTCATCCATCCCCACTCCCACGTGCCCCACTGCAGATCCTTGGGCAGGATGGCGTGGCCATACCTCACTGGCTGGTCCCTGGGTGCCTCTGGGACCCTCCATCACAAGCGCAGAGAACCCCCCCCTATTCTGTCCAGCAGCAAACCTCAGATCTGGCACAGCCTCCCGCCAAGGCTGGGCGTGGGTGGGTGCCAGAGCCGGCCCACCTTCTCCCTGGGGACCCCTCCCGGCTCAGCAGGCAGGCATCCGGGACCTAGAGACTGCAGCGGCCGGCAGGCCTGACGGAAGGGAGGAGAGGTCTGCCTGAGGCCTGGGGCTCTGCGGACTAGCAGCTTCGCCCACTGTTGGCCCCGCTGTGCCCGTCTGAGGTATGGGCCTCTGCCACCCCCCCGAACCAGACTCTGGAGGAGGTTATGTGTGGGGCTGGACGAACAGCTCAGCCTGGGGCGCTCTGGCCTGCGGACTAGCCTGGGATGCTTGCTCCTGGAGTGGGCTGAACTCGGGTCCAGCCAGAGGTCCCTTCCTGGGCCATGGGGCAGGGCTCGGATAGCCAAACAGCACTCAACTGAGAGCAACCAGCTTTCGGGGACCCCCTGCCCTGTGCCTTCCTGAGCAATGATCCATGTGTCCCATGAATGCCCAGCACAGGGGCAGCAAGGGGCATCCTGGAGAAGATGCCCGGTCTGGCTGCAGAGGACAGACCGGTGGGCAGAGCAGACATGTACCCGGTGGCCTCCGCCCTGGGCCAGCCTCCCTGGGGACTGTGTGGGCCTTCCCAACCAGGACGGGGCTGGTTCTCCACTCCCCAGCCAGCTCCCCAGGCCGGGCCAGCCCATCCCAGACAGAAGAGAGTATGCACTTCGTTCATTTGGGGAAACTGAGGCATGGGGACTCTCAGGAACCTGCCAGCACAGCACAGCTCCTGGGCCAAGCCACAAGGGGGACTAGGCGCCCTGCCCCCAGGCCGGGGCTGTGTCTCCCCCAGCGCTTGCCGCTGCTGCCCTTGGACTCCTGCTCCAGCTCCCCGGGGGCCCCACCAGCAGCCAGGTCAGGGCTCTGGTCCTGGTGAGACGGCACCACCTCTGCTATTCAGCCCTCGATGCTCCTGCCACTGCTGTGGCCTCCCCGACCTCCCGAGACCCCATCGGCCCCCAGCCCCTGCGCTCAGCCAGGCCTGGCCCCTGCGGACCACCCAGCCCATCCTCATGACCGGCCCCACCCGGTGCCTAGGCCCATTGATCAAGAATGGCTGGGGGCTCCTCGCTGGGAGGGGAGGGAGCCAGGAGGGGCGGGCTGGGGAGAGGAAGGTTTGCCACGTCACAGCCTCCCACCTGCCCTCCTCCCACACAGCATCGCAGGACAAGCCCGGCCGGTGGCTCAGACAGTGCCGCGTGAGGGGCGCTTGGAGAAGGGGCCCCGCACAGCCCAGAGCCAGGGTCCCACTGCACAAACCAGGTGTAGAACAAGCCCCGAGAGACCCAGGAGGGAAGGACAGTCCCACCAGGAGACCGGGATGGGACGAGCACCTGGGAGCTGAGCTGGGCTGCTGAACGGACCGGAGACCACGGCCCTAACCGAGCAGGGCCGCCCCCGGACTTGGACACCTGCTGCCCCATGGCAGGTACGGTACGAGCCGCCAGGCCACCCCGGGGTGGGCTCAAGCTCCAGAGTGAGTGGGGCAGAACCGGGCCTGCGCGTGGGGACATAGGAAATCCCACTGGTCCCAGGACCTTGGGAAAGAGGGTGAGCAGGGGCACCCCAGGATGGCAGGGCAGGGACGCCGGACTCGCAGTCACCCAGGTACAATTACGTGCCGACAGGCAGAGGACAGAGTCCTTTTTGGGCGGTGAAAGCCTTATCAGGTGTGGGTGACCTTGGGCCTCCCCCCCTTCTCTGGGCTTCACCCCTTGAGGATCAGGGTAAGGGCTGGACAAGAAGCCCCAAATTTCCCTCCGGACCTGACAGCCTGCGGGAAGCTGTCATCCCCTGACCTGAGAGGGGCTGGCTCTCAGAGGAACTGGGCAGGGGACAGCGCCCCACAGTTTCTGAGGGCGCAGAGGGGCGGGGCACTGACTGGGATGAGTAGGGGGCTCGTGGAAGACTTGGGAGCCAGTGACCAGCCTGTGAAGCCCTCGGGCCCGGGGAAGCCATGAGCTTCTCCCTTGGGACCCACCACCATGGACCCTGGGGGCTGCCATCAGTTACCTGGATGTCATACCTGCAGCTGCCCATCAGAGCCTGGTTCCAGGTGGGGGGACATCCACCTATCTATCCTTCATGCCTCACTGGGGGATGCGGACCTGACATCCCGCCCTACCCACCCCAAACCCCAGAAATACTAGGGGCTTCAGAAGGTGACCCTTTTCCAATGTGGTCCTGGGCCCCACACTTTCACAAGACACCTACCGACTCAGTGCCCACTCTGGCCAGGTTAGCTCTTCAGACACTCCCTCCACCCGTCTGTCTGTCTGTCTGTCCATCCCTCTGCCGCCGATCTTCCACTCTGGCCAGGGGATTCCCATGGCTTCCCCAGGCCCTCGGCTCCCCCTGGGGCTGCTCAAACTGACCACCCGTGTTCCAGGATTTTTTTCCCCATTTTTACCTGTTTTTCTGCATAACAGAAAAAAATGAGCATTTTAACCATTTTGAGGCGCACAGCTCGGTGGCATTAAGCGCATCCAAAGGGTTGTGCAGCCGCCACCATCCAGCTCAGACCTTTCTGCGTGTCGCAAAACTGACACTGCCCCCGTTAAACACTAACTCCCCTTCGCTCCCAGCTCCGGGCACCCACCGTCCTGCTTTGTCTGTAAATGGACAAGTCCGCGGACTTCCTTTAGGTGGAATCGTACGGCGTTTGTCCTTCTGTGTCTGGCTTATTTCACTGCCATAATGTCCTCAGGTTCGTCCACGTTGTAGCAGGTGCCAGGATTTCCTTTCTAAGGCTGAGTGATGGCGAATCGTGCCTGGACAGACCACAGTCCGCTTGCCCGTCTGTCCCCTGGTGGACACGCGGGTCGCCTCCACCTGGGCTTCTTATGAATAACGTTTCTGTGGACAGGGACGTGCAGGCATCTGTTCGGGCCGTGGCTCTCAGTCCTTTGGGATATTACCTGGAGGCAAAGCTGCTGGGTCACACGGTCATTCTGCGTTGAATTTTTTGAGGAGCCATCATTCTGTTTTCCACAGCGGCTGCCCCACTGACATTCCCACCAACCGTGCGCGGGGTTCGGTCACTCGGCCGCTCCGCGTCCTCGCCAGCGCTTAGATCGTCTGGCTGTGTTTCGTTGTTGTTTTGTTTTGATAACCACCTCCTCGTGGGTGTAAAGTAGGGCAGCCGGCCCTCGGTTACCGCGGTTCATCAGCTCCAGACTCTGCCGCGATAAACGAATTTGCGCCAAGTAGGGTTCTTTACATACCGTCGTCCCTGCCGCTGGGCGCTTCGACTTTCGCGGCTTCTCTGTCGCGGCGTGGCGAGGGACGACTGTATCTCACTGTGGCGAGGATTTGTAACCAGCAGGGGGCGGGTAGCAAAGCTTCGGGCTAAGGCTGGAGCCAGGATTGCAGATGGCAGGATCTTGAGAACGAAGCTGAGACCAGGGCTGAAAGCGGCTCCTGGAGGCCGGATCTGGGCAGGCTTTCTGGTCAGAGATGGGTGAGAGCAGTTGTGGTCATCTGGGGTCTCTCTGCTTAGCTCGGCTCTTCTCACACAGGACAAGGCTGGGGGGTCTCCACGGAGCTGAGAAAGGCCCACCTCATCCACCACGGTCGCGCGTGTCCTGCTATCCATGTGTCGTTTGTGAAGGGCCCACTGGTGCTAGGCCTGTGGTGTCCTCACAAACCCCAGCAGCCCAGGAGGCGGGGGGTAAGAACCTCTTGTGCCCAGTCGGTGCGGCTCAGGGGACTGAGCGTCATCCGGTGGACTGAGAGGTCCGGGTTTGGTTCCCGGTCCGGGCACGGGCCCGGGTTATGGGCTTGGTCCCCAGTAGGGGGCGTGCAGGAGGAGGCTGATTGTTGTTTATCTCTCCCTCTGACCACACCCCTAAAAAAGACCTCTTGTGATGGATGTGGACACTGAGGCGAAGCGGTTTGCTTGGGCCCCACAGCCACGTGATGGCTCAAAGTCCCTGGGGAGCCAGGCAGGCCTGGTGCCAGCCTCCAGGAGCGTGAAGTGAGCACTTGCCTCGCAAGGCCATGCTGAGTCAGCTGTGGGAACACACACCTGGGCGTCAGGGAGTGCTTCCTGGAGAAGGGGGCACCTGGGTGCAGCCCGAGGCTGAGGGCTGGCCGGGCAGAGCGAGGGTGGGTAAGGTGCGCAGGGGCCCATGCTCTTCCTCTCCCCCAGCCTTCCTCTCTGCCAACCTGGGGGTACTTGCAGCCTCGGAGACCTACCACCTGCCCATGACCAGCTCCAGCTGGGAGCCCCGGCTGGTTTCTCCATTCCCATCAGGCCTGCCGACTGGCTCTACGGGGGCGCACGTCATGGGCGAGCCCACTGGACAGGGCCCCAAGAACCCGCATGTGTCCAGTGTGACGGTGCAGCTGGAGATGAAGGCTCTGTGGGAGGAATTCAACCAGCTGGGCACAGAGATGATCGTCACCAAGGCAGGCAGGTGTGAGCACAGGTGGGGTGCATGTGCGGTGGGCAGGGGCCGGGCCGGAGCCGCATTCAGGCTGCCGGGCACCTCCCTTCGCAGGAGGATGTTCCCCACCTTCCAGGTGAAGATCCTGGGCATGGACTCGCTGGCTGACTACGCCCTGCTCATGGACTTCATGCCCCTGGATGACAAGAGATACAGGTCTGGGGGCCACGGGGGAAGCGGCTCAGACCTCAGGTGCTGAGACGGGGAGGCAGGGGCCAGTCCCCGCAGGGTCAGGGAGGCCTGTCCTGGGCAGCAGTGGGGAGCCTGCTGGCAGGGGGCGCCCACCCTAGGTCAACCGAGTCTGAAGTGGGCAGCGGGCCAGCCCGGACGGGCAGAGCGGGCTAGCCCAGGGCAGAAGGTGTAGCCACAGGAAACTCTCGGAGCCTCCAGTTCGTCGTGTGGGGATAGTGACTGGGCAGCAGCAGAGATGCCAACAGCCCCGCTGCCCCGCCAGTCTTGGCTCCAGGTGCTGTGTGACGCAGACGGGGCACCCTCACCAGCCGGCTCTGCTCCCCAGGTACGCCTTCCACAGCTCAGCCTGGCTGGTGGCCGGCAAGGCGGACCCGGCCACGCCCGGCCGAGTGCACTTCCATCCCGACTCGCCAGCCAAGGGCGCCCAGTGGATGCGCCAGATCGTGTCCTTCGACAAGCTCAAGCTGACCAACAACATGCTGGATGACAATGGCCACGTGAGGCCCGGGTCACCGGGGAGGGGCTGGGCCTAGTCAGGGACGCCGGGGCCTGACTGTGACCAAGCCGAGGGCCAGGGCTGGCCGGGTCTTTGGTGCCCAACGGCCTTGCTGCCCAGCACCCCCACCCGCCGCTGCTGGTCAAAGCTGGCCCGGGTTGGACAGCAGAGGGCACTGTTCAGGCAGGTGGGGGAGTGGGCTGAGGGAGAGAAAAGGTTCCAGCCAACGCTGTCCTTCTCGTGGGCAATGCTCATGGGACACACGGGACTGGTGACAGTCAGACAAAGATCCCTGCCTTCACCTCCTGGGGTAGGGGGCAGATGATAAGCAGAAAATCCAGAAGACACTGGATGCAGTGTCTCAGATGGCGATCAATGGCAGGAGAAAAAGGACCGGGGAGGGGCTGAGACGGAGGGGCTTTCCCTGCCGGGCCCGGGGTCCGGAAGCTGCCGAGATCTTCGGACAGGGCTGTGGAGACGGTGGAGGGAGCCTGTGCGTACAGAGCGGGGGACGCTGCAGGTGGGCAGGGCACTGAGGCTGAGAAATGTCCGGGGAGCTGGGGGGAGCGCAGGGAGGCTCCCAGGGGCTGGACTGGCGGGAGGCGGGTGGGGAGAGGTCCCGGAGGCGCTGGGCTCGCCTGCAAGGCCCGCTGGCTGCAGAGAGGATCCTGGAGGGGTGGGAGCCACAGCAGGGTTCTGAGGGAGGGGTGACATGCTGTGGCCACTGGGGTTGCTGTGTGGAGAATGGACAGAGGGGCCAGGTGAAGGCAGGGGGACCAGCCAGGAGGCAGCTGAGGAAACCCAGGTGAAAGATGATGGAGGCCACCCTGGTCGGTTTGCTAAATGGTTAGGGCATCGGTCCATGGACCGAAGAGTCTTGGTTTTGATTCCCGGTCAAGGGCATGTACTAAGGTTGCAGGTTCAATCCCCGGCCCCAGTCAGGGTCATGCGGGAGGTAACCAGTTGATGTCTCTCTCTCACATTGATGTTTCTCTCTCTCTCTCTCCCCCCCCCTCCCTTCCACTCTATCTAAAAATAAATAGAAAAATATCCTCGCCTGAGGATTAACAAATGAATGATGGAGGCCAGATAGGGTAGAGGCAATGGGGTCGGGGAGACAATCAGATGTGGACAGTTCTGAAGGCAAAGCAGGCAGCTGAGATGTGGACAGTTCTGAAGGCAAAGCAGCAAGGATGCTCCAACACAGAGGGGCCTGGCTACAGACCCTGCCCCCCAGCATGAGGCAGGGGGCAGCAAGCCCAGGGCATCCTCCCAGCCTCAGCGAGAGCTTGCTGCTGTCCCCCCACAGATCATTCTCAACTCCATGCACCGCTACCAGCCCCGCTTCCACGTGGTCTTCGTGGACCCACGCAAAGACAGTGAGCGCTATGCCCAGGAGAACTTCAAGTCCTTCATCTTCACGGAGACCCAGTTCACGGCCGTGACGGCGTATCAGAACCACCGGGTGGGTTGGGCCACAGCTTGTGGGGCACCTGCCAACCCATTTCATAGAGATGGAGACTGAGGCTCAAGGTTCTTTTTAAATTTTTATTTATTTATTTCCTCACCCGAGGACCTTTTTTTTTGCATTTTTATCTTTAGATAGAGTGGAAGGAAGAGAGAGAGAGAAACATCAATGTGAGAGAGACACACCAAGTGGATGCCACCCACACCACCCCAACCAGGGCTGGGGACAAACTGCAACAGAGGTGCATGCCCTTTGTGGGAACCGAATCCAGGAATCTCTGGTCCATGGGCCGACACTCTAACCGCTGAGCCAAACCAGCCAGGGCTCAAAGTTCTTTTTTTAAAAATTATGAACCTTCCAGTTTTTTTTTTTTTTTTAATTTTTTTTTTTTTTAATTGATATTTTAGAGAAAAATGAAGGGAGAGAGAAACATCGATCAGCTGCCTCCTGCACATTCCCTACTGGGGATCGAGCCCACAGCCCAGCATGTGCTCTGACTGGGAAATGAACCGGGACCTCTCAGCCCATGGGTCGATCCGCAGTCACTGAGCCACACCAGCTGGGCTGAGGCTCCAGGCTCTTAGCTCCCACATGCACACAGACCCGAGCCCTTCTTTCCTTCCCTGGGACTCAGTGAGCATCTGCCCAGTCATTCCCCTCCCCTCACACCCACAGGGCCTCTGGACTGGGGGGTCCAGGGAGGTCAGGATGGGTGAGCCTGGGGCCCCGCAGCCTTTCCCCAGTTCAGTGCTGAACCATAGCTTCGCTTCTTCCTCTGCAGATCACCCAGCTGAAAATCGCCAGCAACCCTTTTGCCAAGGGCTTTAGAGAGAGTGACCCAGACTCCTGGTACTGTCTGACCCCTGCCAGTTTGTCCAACTGCCCTGACCCAGCCCCTCAGCCCCATCCCCAGGCATCTTCTAAGGCGTTGGCTCCTGACCCTTGTTTTAGGGTCATGACCACTGACTTGTCCTGGGGTTTCACTGGCTGACTCTGAACTAGACCATTGGCATGGTGCAGCGCCTTGACTCCCTGCCCCCATTCCCGCCCGCCCCTCTTCAGGACTGTATCTCCACGGCCCCTGCTCAGCATCCCGGCTGGGAGTCGAAGCAGCCTCAGCCCCTGTCTGCTGAAGGGCTCTGCAGAGCAGGGCAAAGGTCAGTCCCCAGACCCACAGACCCAGTGGGACCAGAGCGACATGGCGGGGGAGGAGCAACAGTGCACGGGGCCTCCAGGGAGGGCTCCAGCACGCTCAGCAGCCCGGTGGGCACCTGTGTGGACAGACGGGGGAAGCAGAGATGTCCGAGGCAATTTGGGGCCAGGGCAGAGAGCACAGGGTGCAGACAAAGTGCTGAGGGCAGGGGTGGGGGTGTCAGGTGGGCTTCCTGGAGGAGTGGTTCCTGCCAGCTGAGCCCTGGAGGACTGGGAAGGGTTTGCACAGAGGGAGAAGGTGGAAGATCCAGGCAGAGGGAAGAGCTAAAGCAAAGGCTGAGAGGTGGGCAGCTTGGGAGGGGAGGGGCAGATGTGGATGTGAGGAGGGTCTGGGGTTCACTGAGACCACTTCCTCCCTCAGACCCCAACAAAGCTCCAGCTTCCACCTCCAGGACCCCTGCCCGGCTCCACCATCAGCTGCTGGCCACCCCTGAGGCTCTGCTGGCCCCGGCCACCTACCGGGTCCTCACCTATCAGGACCTGTACCCCGGAGCATCAAGCCCTCTCGGAATCGCAAGGGCCCGACCGACACCATATCCCCTCCCCAATATCCAGGCTGATAGGAATAATGGGGGCCTGCCCCACCAAGCTGGGCTGGGGCGCTTGTCCCCCACTGCTGTGTCCCTGAGGCCTCGCCAGGACCCTCAGTGATGGTGGGTGGCCTGTGGACAGAGTCCTCTTACCCTGGAGCCCACTCCCTCCGGCCTCACCTCTGCAGAGACTCCCTCCCTTCCCAGGGAGAGCAGTGAAGATGGAAGCCTAGAGAGGGAGGTTACCTGCCCAGAATCGCGGCAAAGCTGGGACAGTGCCAGGCTTGGAGCCAGGCCTCCCCCCTCCCAACCGGCCCCTTCTGCCTTGGGGATGACTCTTCTAAACCCGGCTTTCCCTCTTCCTTACCCCAAACATTAAACCATTTGGCATGGGTGTCAGCACTTCTGTCCTCAGGGATCAGGGTGGAGGTCCTCAGGAGCACCCCATCCCGAAGCTCTCCCCGTGCCATTGGCATCCCTCGAAGCACAGAGTAAGGGTAAAGGGGGGGCACCTGCCGTGTGGTGGGGGGTTGTGTGAGGGAGCCTGGAGTTCCTGCTCCCCAGTTGTGTGCCCAAATGAGAACTGAAACTGTAGCTCAGAGCGGTACTTGCCCACGTCAAAGCAAAGTCTGGTGACACCTGCCATTCCACGTTTAGGTGCTGTGCGCAAGGGTGGGGTCATCTGGGCGTCCAGGGGCCAGGGCCTGGCAGAGCCTTACAGAACCACAGCAGGCAATGACCGCACGGCCCGAGGTGGGTGGGGGAAGGATCTGAGAATCTCATCAAGCCCTGGCTGGTCGTGGGTTCAATTCCTGGTCAAGGGCAAGTACCCCAGTTTCGGTTAGATCCCCGGGGGGGGGGGGACGTGTGGGAGACGACAATCCATGTGTCTCTCTTACATCGATCTTTCTCTTTCCCACTCTAAAAACCATCAATGAAAAATATCCTCGGGTGAGGATTAAAAAATAGTAATAAAGAGGGAATCTTTTCAAGACTCCAGACGGGAGAGTTTCTGGAGAAAGTGACTTTCAAGCAGGAGAAACTGCAGGGGGCGAGAGGCGAGCTCAGGGCAAGGCCAGGCTGGAGGGGCCCCGGGCAGGGCCAGGCTGGAGGGGCCCCGGGGCGGAGGGCGCCACGCGCCACCTGGCGGAACCAGGAGGGAGGGCCGGAGGGAACCCCGCTGCCCTGACGCCCTCGGCCTCCTACGGGGCGCCTCACGAACCCCCTGAACGCCGACCCCCCCATCTTGGAGCACTGCCTCTGAGGTCCTCGGAAAGGAGGGACGCACGCGGGCGCAAAGGGACGGGAACCCGGCGGGGCCTCAACAGCAAGACGCTCCGTTTCTGAACCCGGGTCAGAGGCTGAGCTCGGTCCCCGGGCCCAGCACGACCCGAAGTCAAACTCCCCATGTCCGTCCGCGCTCCGGCCGGGGCCAGGGTGTCCCCTCGGCGGGCAGCCCGGGCCGCCGGCCCCGCCCCTTCCGGCCCCGCCCACACGCGCGGCGAGGCCACTCCCTCAGGCCCCGCCCACCGCCTCCCGTCGGGGCCCCGCCCCGTCCTGAGGCCTCGCCCCTTGTGCCGGCCCCGCCCCCTACAGCCGCCCGACAGCCGCGGAACCCCGAGGTTGGGGGGCGGGGCGGGGCGGGGCGGGGCGGGGCGTTCGGGCCAATTCCTGCCCCGGCCCCGCCCGGGTCCCGGGCCTGGGGTAAGCCCCGCCCCCTGCCGCCCTCCGTGCAGCCGCAGCGCCGGGCCGGACATGCTGCCTGACTGCCTGTCGGCGGAGGGCGAGCGGCGCTGCCGGCGGCTGCTGGCGGAGGCCACGGCCCGGGTCCGCGCGCGGCCCGCGGCGGCCGCGGTGCTCGTGCCGCTGTGCGCGGTGCGCGGGGTCCCGGCGCTGCTCTACACGTTGCGGTCCAGCCGCCTGGCCGGGAGGCACAAGGGCGATGTCAGGTACACGGCCCGGGAACTCCTCTTCCTCCTAGTAGGAGCCCCCCCGAGCCTCGGTTCGCCCCTGTGGACTGGGTCTGCGGAGAGCGCGTCGGCCCCCTCGAAGCGCGTCCACAGCGCCTAGTGCCTGCGACTTCTCTCCGAGCTGTGACCCCCTCTCTGAAAAGGCAGGACCCCGCCCCCTCCCGGCCACGACGGGGCGATTGGCTCTCAGAGCCTTGGAAGCACTTGGGGCGGGGCTTCCCGCCCTGGCCCCGCCTTCGGCGGAAATTGGGGGACGCCCTAGGGTCAATGCCAGTGGGACCACCGTAGGCAGAATTTGCGTGTCTGAGTTCCATTGCTCAGGGAGGTAAACTGAGCCTGGAGAGGTCTTACGGTTTACCAGAGGCCTCACTGCAAAGCAGGGGCAGGAGCCTAGGTGGGTCACTGGCCCTCTGCTACAACTGCCATCCCCACCCCTCCATGGCCCCAATAGACCAAGGTATTTAGTTTCCCAGGTGGCAAGTGTGACCCCGCTGACCAGGATGTGGTGCACACAGCCCTGAGGGAGACCCAGGAGGAGCTGGGCCTGGCTGTGCCTGAGGACCACGTGTGGGGTATCCTGCAGCCTGTATATGACCAGGTGAGCCCCGCAGGCCCTGCGGCCACAGCCATCCCTTCCCCATGCCCTGCCTGCCCTGGGCCAGGAGCCGGGACGCCAAGGACAAGGAGCATAGTCATGGCCTCTGGCAGGTGTAGAACGCAGTGGAGCACCAGACACGCCTGGCAGTCGCCTTCCATCCCCACACTACCCATGGGGAGGGGCCAGGGGTATTTTTGCCCTCTTTTCGTGGGGATACTGAGGCTCAGGTTCCCAGGTGGAAGTGGCTCTGGGGTGAGCCAGCTCTGCCCAGTTTGGTGGGTGAGGGTTGGTGAAGGCTTCACAGGGTAGGAAAGGCTTGAATGACAAGTGGCAGATTTTATAGTAGTAAAGTAAGGGAAGGTTGTTCTAAGTGGAGGGAGCAGTCTGTAAAGGCCCAGAGGCCTGAATGGGGAACTCCTGGCTGGAATGAGCCCCAGGACAGTGGCCAGGTGGCCCTGGACTTGACTGATAAAGGCCTCCGGCTAGCAAGGGTGGAGTCTTCGTCTCAGCCTCCCTTCTCCAGCCCCAAAGCCCTGCTGAGGCCATGCCTGCCCTGACTGCCTGTCTTCCTGCCCCAGGCAAAGAACACCGTGGTGCCAGTGCTTGCCAGTGTGGGCCAACTGGATCCCCAGAGCCTCAAGCCCAACCCGGAGGAGGTGAGCAGCGGCAGGGATGCTGGGGGACTAGGTTGTCTCAATGGGGGGAGGCTGCAGTGGCCAGTCTGTCCGCCCTCCCACTGCCTCCTGTCTATAGGTGGACGAAGTGTTTGCACTGCCCCTGGCCCACCTGCTGCAGGCGCAGAACCAAGGCTATACCCACTTCTGCCAGGGTGGCCACTTTCGCTACACACTGCCTGTCTTCCTTAACGGGCCACACCGTGTCTGGGGGCTCACAGCTGTCATCACTGAGTTCGCCCTGCAGCTGTTGGTACCTGGTGCCTACCAGCCCCGCATGGATTTTCCTTGGAGGTCCAAAGGCTGAAGACCTGGTCCTAAGCCGCCTCTGCCTTCACCCTGCCAGGCCAGCTCCACTTCAGGACTGAATAAAGAGCCTTTACCAACTCTTTGGCAACTGTATCTTCTGTGCTAGGACGCTGACCTTGGGCAGACCCCAGGGGACAGCTGGTCTCCTGGCTGGGGCACCTCTGTCCATGCATACTGTCCCCCACGGCAGTGGACGTACTGTGTGCTAGGTACTCGGCATCATTTCTCTCATTTCACCCTCACCTCGGCCCTATGAGGTGGGGCCAGCACTGTCCCTGGCTGGTGAGACTGGGGCTCAGAGACGACAAACACCTTGCCCAAGGTCACCCCAAGCTAGGATTCGAACCAGGCCCTCTTTGACTAGAGCCCAAACTCTTAGCCACTGTACTGTTCCCTCCTCTGCCTGGCTGACCATGAGCCGGGAATCTGGAGAGGACCCCTGCACATTACGCCCACTGTGTGCCAGCTGCTGTGCTGGCCTGTGGGGGCTGAGGGAGCTCGGTCTAGGGGAGACCTTAGACCAGGTCACCCAGCTAATCATGTGATTGCACATTAATCGATCACATATAAGTAATAGTGGAATTATACATCAATTATGCAGACCAGGATTCTGTGAAAGAGTTGAGGGAGGAGAGTTGGGCTTTGACATGTGGACTGGGCAGTGTTAGCCAGGACAAATGTTAGAAAACTCCACCTACTAGCTGACTTTGCCAAAAGAGGAATGGTGATTACAAACTCCCGAGATACACTAGCTTCAGGCATGGTTGGATCCAGGGGCTCTCTTTCTCTGCTGTGCTTTCCACTGTATTGGTCTCACTCCCAGGACAGTCTCTACTCCACAGGGATGAGATGAGAGGGCAATAGCTCTCGGATGGCATGAGCATTCCACCAACAGAAAACAGTTTCTTAGCCAGTCTAACCCAGAATTGCACTGTACTGGCCTGCCTTGGGTCGCATGCCCTTCCCTGAGCCTGTCATGTGGCCTGCTGACTTTGGAATTCATTTAATGACAGTCTGAGGCACGACCCTGGGGAGGAGGGTGACCCTCCTGGACTGGGAATAGGGAAGGGGTGGCCTCCAAAGGACCAGTAGGAAGAGGGAAGGCTGAGCAGTTAAAAGCCAAGTCTACCTTCAGAGTGACCTTGAAACCAAGGGCGAGCAGGAATGAGCCAGGTCAAAGGGCAGGGCAGGGCATTTAGGGCGGGAACACACATGCACACAGCTTGGGGTCCTCAAGGAAACCGTGAAGAGTGATGTGGAGTTGAGGGGTGCCAAGGGGACATGCTTCAGTGATGGGTTAGGATTTTATTCTAAGCCCATAAAAGGAAAGAGGTGTTGACATGATCTGATCCATGTTTTAAAAAGCTTGAGCTGCATCTGACCTATGAGGGGCAGGGCAGATGCCCTCTTCCCCAGGTGTCCCCTCCTTCCCGGGCACCCCTCCCTCTCCACATGAGCCTTTCCATTTCACATCCCTGCTGCACCCCCTCCACACCTCCCTACACGCTCCCTCCTTCTGCACCCCTCCCCTCTCACCTACGTCTTCATCCCCACACCCCTCCCATTGCACCTCACACCCTGTGTCACTTCTGGGCATCTAGCCTTCTCCCCTTGGAGCAGGCCCCATGATGATAAAAATAACCAACAGCATGTGAACGTGGAGAGGGGCTGACAAGGGGGGCGGGAATCTGAGGCCCCCCTTCCCCACACTAAAGAAGAGACCCTTGGAGTTGAGGGCAGGGAGGTGCCCTCTCTTGAGCCCGGGAGGTGGGCTCTGAGCCCCCTCCCCCCGGGTACCTGGGAGTCCTGGGTCACACAGCTGAGTCGCCTCAGCCAGGCAGGCGCGCATCCAGCTCCAGCAGCGAACACAGCCAGGCGGAGGAGCTCTCGGGGAGGTAAGTGGCCCAGCTGGCACTCCGGCACACCGGGCGCCTCTCCAGCCCGGGGACCCCCACTTCTACCGCACCCGCCTAACCCTGCCTGCTGTGCTCAGGTGCTGGCTGCCACCCAGGACCCTCCTCAGCACCCTCAGTGATGCCTCTTCACCATGTCTCGGCCCAGTGTGGTCCCCTCATATCCCGTCCAAGGGGGCTTGTCTGAGCCCCACGTCTGAGCCCCCATGGCGGGCACTGCAGCAGCGAGCTCCAGGCGGCCACAGCGGGTGAGCATGCAGGAGCACATGGCCATCAACGTGAACCCAGGACCCATCCGGCCCATCCACCTCATTTCCGATTACTTCCCACACTTCTACCCCTTTGCTGAGCCCGTCCTGCGTGCCCCCCGCCCACACCGCGCAGTGGCCTCTGACATCCGCTCTGCACCCCAACTGCAGCCAGACCCAGAGCCAGAGGGAGACTCAGACGACAGCAGTGAGTTGGGGCAGGGGATGAAGACTTGGTGCCATGGTGGGGGTCAGGGTGGGGTTTGAGGCATCTGACCTATGAGGGGCAGGGCAGAAGGCTTGGTGCCATGGTAGGGGAGTTCAGGAAGGAACTGAATCTGTGTACCACCTGCCCTTAGCTACCCTGGGTACCCTGGAGTTCACACTTCTTTTCGATGCGGACAACAGCGCCCTGCACTGCACGGCTCACCGTGCCAAGGTAAGGATAGGGCAGGGGTCCCTGGGCCATGGGCCACAGGCCTGCCCCATATTCACTGTCTCTTTCCAGGGCCTCAAGCCACCAGCCTCAGGCTCCCTGGACACTTATGTCAAAGCCAACCTGCTGCCAGGGGCCAGCAAGGTGAGGGCAAGACCATGCCCTACTGCTGCCCCTTGGCCACACGCCTAGCCTGGCGCACCCGCCTGTTCTGCCCAGACCCTCCCCCACAAGGCCTGGGCATCAGGTCCAGAGCTCCTCATTGCTGGGTGGACCACTGGAGTCTACCAGGGAGGTGGGCCAGGGTGGGGCCCTAGGGCCTGAGGAAGCCCTGACCCACCTTGCCTGGTCCTCAGGCCAGCCAGCTGCGGACACGTACAGTTCGGGGCACGAGGGGACCTGTCTGGGAAGAGACACTCACTTACCATGGCTTCACCTGCCAGGATGCTGGGCACAAGACCCTGCGGTGAGGACTGGGTCTGGCCCCGAGGGAGCAGGGTGGAGTGGGGGCTTGCCTGTCCCGGTCTGACTTGGCGGCCACCAGGTTGTGTGTGTGTGAGGACCCGCGGCTGCGGCGACCTCGGCGACGAATGCCTCCCCTGGGGGAGCTGCGGGTGCCCCTGAGGAAGCTGGTGCCCAACTGTGCCAGGAGCTTCGATGTGTGTCTGGAGAAGCGCAGGCTGGTGAGTGGGGTGGCACACAGGTGGGCCTTCAGGGTCCAGCAACCTTGTGATGGGGAACGAAGAAGGCAAGGGCGAGGGGGCACTTGGGCGGCGTCCAGCCAAGGTAACCGGCCCTCTGCTCTTTCAGACCAAGAGGCCCAAGAACCTGGACACGTCCCGTGGCATGTCCCTGTATGAGGTGCGTAGGGCAGTGGAACAGAGCAGGGGTGTGGAGGGGACAGCCTGGGGTGCCCAGGCATCAGGCAGGGGCTGAGGTGGGCTTGAAGAAACCTCTCTCGTATGTTGAGTGCTTGGAGCCTGGGGAACAGCCGGCCAGAGATGGGCGCTGATAAGCAAAGCCCTCAGGGGGTAGAGGCCCAGGCCACCTACAAGCAGAGGCTGAAACTGATGGGATTTATCTGTGGCCAGAGAAACCGGGAGGGCAGGAGGAAATGGTCAAGATGGGGTCCCTGACTGCTAGGTTGATCCCTGGAACAGTGTGGGTGCCACTCCTGGGCTGGTAGCTCTAGAAAAGCCCTCATCAGGAGGCAGTGACAGTAACTGCAGGGGGCCCTGCAGGAGACCAAAGACTAGGCCAGAACCCCTTTGGCCTGGGACAGGCAGGGATACTGCAAGGCTGAGGCAGGACTGGCCCAGGCCCCTCTCAGATTGAAGGGCCAGGTGCTGCTGCCCTGCCCCTAGTGGAGCCACAAATTACTGCAGCTGCAGACGAGGCGAGGCAAGGCAAGTCCCGCCAGAGGGGGCAGGCACCTTGTGCAACCCACTCACTTCCTGTCCCAGACCCTACACAGAGCAGTGCCTGGTGCAAGGTGGGTGCTCAGGGAACAGTCCCATACTAAGAACTAAATGCTAGTATTGTGGTTGGGCTTTCGGCAAGTCGAATCCTATGTTAAGTACGGGAGACACACGTTCTTCCCTGCCTCCCAGACTCCTTTTGGAAGCACCTGGGGCAGAGTGTGGCAAGACATTCAACATCTGGTCCCCAGGATGGTGGGGGCTGAAGAGGGAGGGTTTTGTAGCTGAAAAGACCTGTATGACCTTGGGTAGAGAACAGCCTCTCAGGGGTTTGTCCAGGAGGAGGGTGGTGATGGGCACTTGTGGGAGGCCACTTAGCAAACTGCGGGCATGTCTGTGACACTCAACATCATCAGTTCCCTTCCTCCCAAGGCAAAGATGTGCTGAGCTGACCAGTCACATGGCCTGAGCAAGCCCCTCCCCTTCTTAGGCCCTGGAGGTACAGCTGGTCAATGGCTGTTTCTGGAAACGGAGCCATGAAGTCAAATCACTGGCTCCTGGTTTCTTTGCAGCCAGTCTAAGTTCTCACATCCTGGCTGATACTGGTGGGGGTGGGCTTTGGGGGACACGGGGCTGACCCCAGCCTACCCCGCAGGAGGAGGCGGAGACAGAGGTGGCTGGGGAGGAACGTGGGCGCATCCTGCTGTCACTGTGCTACAGCTCTCGGCGAGGGGGCCTGCTGGTGGGGGTGCTGCGCTGTGCCCACCTTGCCCCCATGGATGCCAATGGCTACTCGGACCCCTTCGTCCGCCTGTGAGTGTGAACAGAGGTGGACAGGTGGGCACGGGGGTTCCTAAGAGCCCCTCTGGGGCTCACCTCTCCAGAGCTACACCTAACCCAACCTCATCCTCCACAATCAGATTCCTGCATCCAAATGTGGGGAAAAAATCTAAGTACAAGACTAACGTTCGAAAGAAGACCCTGAACCCCGAATTCAATGAGGTAGGCCAGGGCCAGGCCAAGGCAGTCCTGGCTTCTCTGGGGTGAGGGAGGGCAGCATCCTGCCGCAGTCAGAAAACACAGGTCCCAGCTAACCTGAGTCCCGCGCCAGCCTGAGCCTGTTTCTGAAGCTGTGAAGGACCCGAGGCCGCCTCCCTTCCTTCCTGTCTCCTTCCCTGCAGGAATTTTTCTATGCAGGCCCAAGGGAGGAGCTGGCCCAGAAGACACTACTGGTATCAGTATGGGACTATGACCTGGGTACAGCCAACGACTTCATTGGTGAGTGGAAATGCAGGGGAGCTGGGTGGGGGACCCAATGGACTCACACATCTCCTGACCTCTATCCCCCAACCCAGGTGGGGTACAGCTGAGTGCCTGGGCCAGTGGCGAGCGCCAGCGGCACTGGAGAGAGTGCTTGGGCCGCAGTGACCACCGGCTGGAGTTGTGGCACCCGCTGGACGGTGCGCCCCTCCAGCTCCGCAACTAGCTGGGGCACCTGGCCTCGCCCTGCTCACTGCTTCTCCCCCAAACTGACCCAAACATCTCCACACAGTCGGGAGGACCCGGGGCTGCCTCACCCACCATGCCCAGCCCCTAATCAAATTGTTTCTTCCCTTTTCCCCTTTCAAATTTGCCCACTGCCAAATCAGGAAGCAAGAATAAACTCCTCCAAACCAGACGAAACCAAGCCTGTTCTTTCCTTGCCCATCGCCTCGTGGGGCAAACTGGGCTCTGCTCTCCTTGTCCCCACCCTCCAGAGGCCCAGGTTCTGACCCCAGGCCACAGCTCTCCCCTCCTCCCACCCGCTTCCTACACTGAAGGGTGGGTGTTCAGGATGGTCTAGGACAGACTCACTAACCCACAGGAGGCCAAGGTCCGGATTCACGACATGACCTTGAGCTGACCTTTTCAAGCTTCATCTGGGAAACGGGCCTCCATGAACAATGGGCCTCAGGTGGCAGGGCGGAGAGCAAGGCCAGAGAAGCTGCAACGGGGTAGTAGGCAGCACTCGCTTTATTGTCCCACCATCTGGACAGACGGACGCCAGCCCAGGGCGGCAGGTTCAGGCGGCAGCTTGCCTGACCTGGTGCTGCTGGGCAAACCGCTGCATCCGGTCCTCCAGCTCCGGCCGGAAGTGGCGGATCAGGCCCTGGGAGGGGATGGGGGCACTGTGTGAACTGGAGTCTACAAATCCCCCAATGCCCTGGGTTCTCTGCACCCCCCCAGAGCAGGGCAGAGTACCTGCACTGGCCAGGCGGCCCCGTCACCCAGGGCACAAATGGTGTGGCCTTCTATCTGCTTGCTGATCTCCCACAGGGAGTCGATCTCGGCCGGCCGGGCGTCCCCCCTCACAAAGCGCGCCATCACCTTGTTCATCCAGTCCACACCTGCAGCCACGATAGGATAAAACGAAGAGAAGCCACACATGCTGGAGGCAGCATCTATCTATTCAGGGACCAGAGCCCACCCTACCTTTGACCTATGCCCACCCCAGGCCCAGGGAGAGGCACAGAGAAAGCCCACCCTGCCTGGGGTGCTCACCCTCTCGGCATGGGGTGCACTGGCCACAGCTCTCGTGCTTGTAGAACTCGATGAGGCGGGCGATGGCTTTCACGATGTCCGTCTGGAGGACAAAGAGCAGTGAGCCCAGCCCTCAGAAGCAGCCCCTTCTTGTCCAACAGCGACCTGGCCACTCTCCAGCCCTCCGGGGGTCCTGTACTGCCCACTCTCCATGGGTACCCTGCCTCAGAGAGCCTGTCCCCTCCTCTCCCACCTGTGTCTCAGGCTGCAAAAGCTGGGGCCCAAGAGCTGGCGAGAGTTCTCAGAGAAGCCCAGGGAGGAGTGCCAAGCCCGCTGTGAGGCAGGACCTGGAGGGAAGCGCGGGACGGCCATTACCGAGCGGTCCATGACGATCACTGCAGCCGTGCCCAGGCCCGTCTGCGCCTGCACCAGTGCGTCGAAGTCCATCAACACCGTTTCACACACGGACTTGGGGATCAGTGGGGTGGACGAGCCGCCGGGGATCACAGCAAGGAGGTTGTCCCAGCCACCCGTGACACCCCCTGGGGTCCCAGTCAGTCCCCAAAATGATGGATGGTCAGGGCTGAGGCTGGCATACCTGCCTAGTCCTGAGCCCAAGACCTGTCGATCCTGATCCCAGCCCCAGCCCCAGCCCCAGCCCCAGCCCCAGCCCCTGCCCCAGCCCCAGCCCCTGCCCCAGCCCCAGCCCCTGCCCCAGTCCCTGCCCCTGCCCCAGCCCCTGCCCCAGTCCCTGCCCCAGCCCCTGCCCCTGCCCCAGCCCCTGCCCCAGCCCCAGCCCCTGCCCCAGTCCCTGCCCCAGCCCCTGCCCCAGCCCCTGCCCTAGCCCCAGCCAATGTTCCAGCTCCAACCCCTGCCCCTGCCCCAGCCCCTGCCCCAGCCCCTGTCCCAGCTCCAACCCCTGCCCCTGCCCCTGCCCCAGCCCCTGCCCCAGCCCCTGTCCCAGCCCCTGCCCCAGCCCCTGCCCTAGCCCCAGCCCCTGCCCCTGCCACTGTCCCAGCCCCTGCCCCAGCCCCTGTCCCAGCTCCAACCCCTGCCCCTGCCCCTGCCCCAGCCCCTGCCCCTGCCACTGTCCCAGCCCCTGCCCCAGCCCCAGCCCCTGCCCCAGCCCCTGCCCCAGCCCCTGCCCTAGCCCCAGCCAATGTTCCAGCTCCAACCCCTGCCCCTGCCCCAGCCCCTGCCCCAGCCCCTGTCCCAGCTCCAACCCCTGCCCCTGCCCCTGCCCCAGCCCCTGCCCCAGCCCCTGTCCCAGCTCCAGCCCCAGCCCCTGCCCCAGCCCCTGTCCCAGCTCCAGCCCCAGCCCCTGCCCCTGCCCCAGCCCCTGCCCCAGCTCCAGCCCCAGCCCCTGCCCCAGCTCCAGATCCAGCCCCTGCCCCAGCTCCAGCCCCAGCCCCTGCCCCAGTCCCTGCCCCAGCCCCTGCCCTAGCCCCAGCCAATGTTCCAGCTCCAACCCCTGCCCCTGCCCCAGCCCCTGCCCCTGCCCCTGCCCTAGCCCCAGCCCCTGCCCTAGCCCCAGCCAATGTTCCAGCTCCAACCCCTGCCCCTGCCCCAGCCCCTGCCCCAGCCCCTGCCCCAGCCCCTGTCCCAGCTCCAACCCCTGCCCCTGCCCCTGCCCCAGCCCCTGTCCCAGCTCCAGCCCCAGCCCCTGCCCCAGCTCCAGATCCAGCCCCTGCCCCAGCCCCTGCCCCAGCTCCAGATCCAGCCCCTGCCCCAGCTCCAGATCCAGCCCCTGCCCCTGCCCCTGCCCCTGCCCCAGCCCCTGCCCCTGCCCCTGAGGCCCTTCCAGCCCCTGCCCCAGCCCCTGCCCTAGCCCCAGCCAATGTCCCAGCTCCAACCCCTGCCCCTGCCCCAGCCCCTGCCCCAGCCCCTGCCCCTGCCCCAGCCCCTGCCCCTGAGGCCCTTCCAGCCCCTGCCCCAGCCCCTGCCCCTGCCCCTGCCCCAGCCCCTGCCCCAGCCCCTGCCCTAGCCCCAGCCAATGTCCCAGCTCCAACCCCTGCCCCTGCCCCAGCCCCTGCCCCAGCTCCAACCCCTGCCCCAGCCCCTGCCCCAGCCCCTGTCCCAGCTCCAACCCCTGCCCCTACCCCTGCCCCTGCCCCAGCCCCTGCCCCAGCCCCTGCCCCTGCCCCAGCCCCAGCCCCTGCCCCAGCCCCTGCCCCAGCCCCTGCCCCTGAGGCCCTTCCAGCCCCTGCCCCAGCCCCTGCCCCAGCCCCTGCCCCTGCCCCAGCCCCTGCCCCTGCCCCTGCCCCTGCCCCTGCCCCTGCCCCTGCCCCTGCCCCAGCCCCTGCCCCTGAGGCCCTTCCAGCCCTGGCTCTCTTCATGGCCACCCTACCCGCCCCGGCCCCAGGCCTCACCGGCATGCTTTTCAATCAGTTCCTTCAGCGGCACAGACATTTCCTCCTCCACAGTGCATGGGTGGTTGACGTGGCCAGAAATGTTGAATAATTTAGTGCCTGAGTTACGCTCGCGGCCAAAGCTGGCAAACCAGGCGCCCCCACGGCGGCAGATGGTGGGGGACACAGACACTGTCTCCACGTTGGCCACAGTGGTGGGGCAGCCAAACACTCCTGTGAGGAAATGGAACAAGAGACTGGTCGCTGCCAAGGGTGAAGACAGATTGGGGTGGTTTTCCTGGCAATGAGTCTGTGCCAGGGTCCTGCTCCCATGCCAGAGAGTGCTCCCCTTCTACCTCTTTATCATTCTCATCCCCACTGGACCCCAAACTCCGGCAGGTCCTGCACTGCCTTGTTCACCACCCTGCCCTTTGCCCCTGGAGGGATGTCGGGACCTGGGTGTCTGACGTGGGGGCTAAGGCAGGCGGCGCCGGTGGAGTCTGTGTTGTTACCACCCTGCTCTCTGTGCCTGGCTCCACTGCAGAAGGAACTCACAAATTCCCTAACACCAGTGGGGACCTGAACCCAGATCCCAGATTCCACAGGACAAGGCCCAGGGTCGAGCCGGGTCTTACCCACGTCTGCGGGGAAGGGTGGCTTCAGGCGGGGCTTGCCCTGCTTGCCCTCAATGGACTCAATGAGCGCCGTCTCCTCCCCGCAGATGTAGGCCCCGGCCCCTCGCACCACGAACACATCGAAATCATAGCCGGAGCCGCAGGCATTCTTGCCAATCAGACCAGCCTCATAGGCCTCTCGGATGGCCACCTGTGGGACAAGGATGAGAAGGGAGGGCACTGTCCCCAAGAACCTGAGAATACTGTGTGTGTGTGGAGGGTGGGGGGGAGGGCGGGGATACAGGCCCATCACCAAATCCAGGACAAAAGCCCCCTTATGACACGAGTGGAGGATGCTCTGCGAGGGGGTGAGGACTTCTACAGTGTGTGTGCTATTGTAACAACAACACTTAAAAATGATCCAGCCCTGGCCGGTTTGGCTCAGCGGTTAGAGCATCGGCCTGCGGTCCCAAGACACCCGGGTTCGGTTCCCGCTAAGGGCGCGTGCCTTGGTTGCAGTTTGTCCCCAGCCCTGGTTGGTCGTGCGGGTGGCAGCCACTCGATGTGTCCCTTTCACATCAATGTTTCTCTCTCTCTCCCCCTCCCACTCTACCTGAACAAAAAAATGGAAAAAATGTCCTCGGGGAGGAAAAAAAAAAAATGATCCAACTATATCTGTTTTTAAAAGAAAGATTTCAGAATAATGAAAATGTACCAAGTAGTTTCTCTAGGTAGTGGATCTGTGTGAGAGTGTTCTCTTTTGTCTGTGTGGTTTCCTATCTTCATAATAAGTACTGCTTCTTCAATTGAGGGAAAGACCCTAAAGGTTTAATTTTAAAATATATAACAATAATAAATCTTATACGTAATACTACTACGTGCCAGGCACTGTTCCAGGTGCTATTCCTGCATCCCTTGTCACTGTTGTGTAGGAACCTAATAGAAAGGTAAGACTCTGGCCCTGGACCAATCACTACAGGCATCACCAAGCTAAGCATTACTGA